TTTTTTTTTTTTTTTTTTTTGTATTCTGCCGATAACATGATACGTTCAATTACATTCACCTTATTCGGTTTCGTTACTTTATCTTCATTATCTTCAGTAGAACAAAAGAAAAAAAAAAGAGGATAATTGCTGAATAAGGTGTTAATATTGGTTGAAATATATGAGATAACTCATTTGAAAGGGCGAACGAGAACTTATTTCAAAAAAACTAAAAAAACACCAAAATATTTTACAGAATTTTTTCTCTTTTCTTCTTCACTTTTACCCCGCTTATAAGAACAATTCAAGCAGAAAAGATTTTTTTGAAAACTTTATCATTTCTTTCAATCTTATTTTGTGTGCCATCTTTTTTTCAATTCTAAAAATGTTTTCTTTGGAAAACAAAACAAATTTTAATACTGTCAAAGCTTTTTTCTGGTTATTTGTCCAGTCACCGCCTGTATCGAGAGTACTTATGTTCCAGAAATTGCTCAGTAGTGCTTCTAAACACACGTTATTCCTCAACAGCTACCATACGACCATTGTTTTTTCTTCATGCTTTTATTTTAATTAAAAAATTGCATTTTTTTCTTAGATATTTAAGGATAACTGATGCAAAAGAGGTAGGTGAAGTTATCAGAAATGTTGCACTAAAAATAAGCAGCTAAAATTTTTCATCGATGACATAAATGTTCAATATTGAACAGAGTATTAGAATAGGTACAATTATTGAATCAATTGTATGCACTGAATGCCAACAGTTATTAAATTTATGTATCGAAAAAAGATTTATTTTATAAAACTTATGTTTCCTCTTCAACGGTAACGCTTGCAGAAGTTGACAGCTTAAAAATTGCCAGCAAAACAGCAGTTTCCTCTTCTCTTGTCACCCTTGCCGCCTCTGCTCTCCTTTCACTGTTGGTAAATCAACATCCTGTTTAGTTCCTCTAAAAATCTCTTTTAAGTGTAGAACTACAAGAATAGGATTAAAACAAGATTTCTTAGATGACCAACTGATCAATACCTAGCAAAAGTGTTATTTGCCAAACAGTTTATAAACAATTTTTGTTGCTTGAAACTGAGGAATGTAGAAATTAAAATAAAAAACTTGAGTTGAAAATCGGCGAAGAAACGAATGCACTTGCTCATAGTAATACCATACAAAATTAACAGATATATTAAGATGCAATGAATAAAAAATACGAAGAAAACTTTTCTACTTTTTTATTCTTTTTTTTTTTTGGTTTGAAGAAATAATGAAAGTCATTAAAACCAGACTAAGAATATTGTTGTAAACAGTCTTGTATGCTTGTTTACATAGACTCATCGACGTAAACTGAAAATTTTCAGTGAATTTCATGCAGTCGCCAAACGCTCGTAAACGGCTTACTAAAAAGAGTCACTAAACAAGGAATAAAAAAATTTAGTCTTTAAAGAGACTAAATTTAATAATGCATGTTCATGTATTATTAAATACCACTTAAACACGAAGGTTTTTCTGTCCTCCCAACGGTTAAGAAATAAGTGCAGTTTCACGACTGACTAAAGAAAAAAGTTATATCCAGAAATCAAATCAGCAAACATTGATTTTATTTGACCTTAAAAAATTGATTTCTAAACTTTTGTTCTTAACGCTTGATTAGTTGTTGATTAGATATGTAACAGTCTAAAAACTAAGGTGAGACAATCTTAAGTGATCTACCTAAAACAACCGAGTTTTTGCTTGAATCTTTTGCGAATAGTGAGTTTCATGCATTTACATCAAGTCAAGTCATTACTGTTAATCGTTATTTTCTGCTGTTGAGACAAAAAAAAAATTTGCATTTATGTTATCTTTTTTCTCTTTTTTTTCCTTTTGGTAGTACAGAAATAAGTCAGGTTTTTTTTTTTTGCCTAATTCGTAAAACCTACAAACCTCTGATATAACTAATAAAACAAAAGTAATGACAGATAATTATTTTGAAGTCGTTTGCATTCCAGCAATTGTTTCAACATTTCCGATTTGTTACTGACAGTTAGTTATTACTTTGCTATGATTTATAGTCATGTTTAAAAAATTTTTTTCCTTATTACTTTTTAGACATTACGTTATCTGATATGACGCCATAATGTCATAATGCTGTAATGCGTGCGCCGTGCACTAAGTCCGCAAATGGTCCACTCTTTCGGCTTCCTTGTTTTTTAGGCCGTTCTCAGACTTTGCGTCTATCCTCGTGGGTAAAGCAATGATTACTTTTCAAATTTTGCTCAGTGGTAGTTTTCGGTGTAATTCTACAGTTTTCATTACAATCGGTTCGTACATTAAGACGCTTGTCTAACTTTACTGCCAGACATTTATCACAGTCCTGATGATCCATCTCTAGGAAATGCTTAGTCAACTTCTGGTTGGTAATTAATTTTGTAAGCACCTGTAATCTTGAACAGAATTAAAGATTTAAACTAACAAAAACAGAAACAACAACAGCAGTAGAGGCAAAAAAAATTTAAGCTCAAATTGTTTTAAGAGCAAAATAATTAGGAAAAATGACGTGTACCTATTTAGTAAGCTTCAATTTGTATTGAGTTATATTATGACTAATTTAAAGGTCAAATATAAATATATAATTTTT